GAAAATAAGAATGAAAAATATGGTCTTTCTTGAACTTGTGTGCTTCCAGCTAGCACACATATATAAAAGAAAGTATTTGGAATCAGTTTCAAATTTGTTTTTAGCTATAGGTCTATTTAATTGAAAGATAACTAGAATAACAGATGTCTTCATTGTCTCAAATAGGAAGGACCAGAAATTCCGTCTTAACTTTATATCACAAACTTAGATATAAGAGAACTGATGCTAAGGCTACAGTACTTATGTACATGGGAATGCTGGTCTACCAAAGGGTATCTATGTTACAATGACTGTTTTAACTGCATTAATCTATTTAAAGTAAAATGAAAATCAATATCATAACAGAATAACAACTTGATCCATAATTATTTTTTCATCCATGCCAGCTACTGGAAAAGAGAATTAATATGTCTCTGTTTTCTAGTAATATGCCTAGCACTTAGAGGACAACATAAGAGCAATTAAGCAACAGGAAAATAATACCAGAGAGGTGAAACTGTCATTTCTAATTGTTTAAACTTTTATTCTGACATAATTGCAGATTCACATGCAGTTATAAGAAATAATGAAGGAGATTTCCTATACCCTTTACCCAATCTCCTTCATTAGTAACATCTTGTATAACTGCAATATAATATCACAACCAGGATTTTGTCATTGATACAGTCAAGAGCCAGAACATTTTCACCCCCACAAGAATTCTGTATGTTACCTTCTATAGCTACACTCGCATCACCCCAGCCCATTCCCTCCTTAATCTCTGGCAACCACCAATTTCTTTTCCATTCCTATAATTTTGTAATTTCAAGAATATTATAGAAATGGAATCGCACAGTATATAATCTTTTGGTATCAGCTTTTTTTTTTTTTCCCTTAGTATGATTATATGCAGATTAGGTGGTTATATGTATCAATAGTTTGTTTCTTATTATTAGTGAGTAGTGTTCCATGCATGGATGTACCACAGTTTAAGCATTTACCCATTGAAGGACACCTGAATTGTTTCCACTTTGGGGCTATTATTAAGAAGATACTATAAATGTTCATGTGCAAGTTTTTGTGTGAACATAAATTTTCATTTATCAGGAATAAATGCCTGGGACTGCAACTCCTGAGTCATAAGGTAGTTCATGCTTAATTCTTCAAGAAACTTCTAAACTGTTGTCCAGAGTGGCTTACCATTTTTCATCCCATCAGCAATAAATAAGTGATCCAGTCTCTGTGAATTCTCACCAGCATTTGGTATTGTCATGGATTTTATTTTAGCCATTCTGGTAGGCATCTAGTGATATCCCATTGTGGTTTCATTTTGCTAATAGCTAATGGTGTTGAACATCATTTTACATGCTTATTCTTTATCTGTACATCCTTTCTGGTGAAATCCACTTTTGTTTATTGTGTTCTTTCTTCCTTCCTGATGTTCCAAGGTTCTTTCCTTTTTATCATTCCCTTTCTGTTTAAAGATCTTTCGTTAGCCATTCTTTCAGGGTAGGTCTGTATGCAACAAATTCTTTGTTTTTCTTTCATCTGGGAATATCTTAATTTCCCCTTCACTTGTGAAAGACATGTTCACTGGATATAGAATTTAGGGCTGAAGTTTATTTTCCTTCGGCACTTGAAAAATAGTGTACCATTTCCACCTGGGACCCATGGTTTTCCATGAGAAATCTCCTGTCATTCCTATTGCTTTTGCCATAAAGGTAAGGTACTTTTCTTTCTCAATTCTTTCAATATTTTTCTTGCCTTTAATTTTTATTAGTTAGACTATGATATATGTTATGCAGTGGTCACCATGGGCCTTAGGTGA